ACATTTGAACACACTTATTATAGAGATTGAGAATAATAAATGAATTCTCTATTGATGCGTCAGCATCATCTTGTACACAGATTCCTGCATCGGTACATTAATGTAGTGGGAGGATTATCATCCAATCCGACAGAATCATGTTTTTAAGTGAGACCATTATGGATATCCCTGTTAAACATGAGTTGGACCCAGTAAGCTACACGGAAGCGTGAACCGATATGGATACAGATCGTTTTGGCGAGTTACTATGAAATCAGAGTTGGAATCTATGTATTCTAATAAATTCTGGGATCTTGTAGAACTTTCTAGTAGGGTGATTCCTATGGAAGGCAAGTTAATCTACAAAAAGATACCAGAAGATTTTTTTGTGAATAAATCATTAGTGTACAAGGGAATGCCATTATTTTTCTGATTCTATATTTATATATGACATCCTACTCATTTAGAATGATGTGGAAGTTTTGTCATCGATAAAAAAGTAGTTGTTCAATTACTTTTAAATGAAGAATTTTCAAGATGTAAGCTATATTCCTAGGATCAAGCTTTTGCAAGATCAGGTTAAAAGGAAAATAGGCTTATCTTAATAATCCTACATTGGAAAAGTTTTTATCAGGTTTGGTGTGCATAACTCAAAGAATGAGTTCTTGCTTTATTGATATGGATTGCTCTCTCTAGTAAGTAGTTTTTCAAGATTATCAAAGAAGATTGAGCAAATGAGACTGGAACAATATGCTTCGGCATATGAGAGTCTCATATATGTCATGGTCTATACCAAACAGGACATCCGCTACATAGTAGGGATAGTCAGTAAAGATCAGTCCAATACTGGACTTGACAACTAGTCTGTTGTGAAAAATATCATTAAGTACCTAAGGAGAATCAATGATATCATACTCATTTATGGATGTGATGATATGGTCCTAGTCAGGTATGCTAGTTCTGATTTTCAATCAGAAGTAGATACTATGAGGTTCATGACTTAGTGTATGTTCACTTAATGGAAGGGAAATCAGTTGGTAGATTGTTAAGCAGATTTCAACTGCTGACTCAAACCTGCAGGTGGAATATATTGCAGCCTTAAAGGCGGCAAAAGAAGCCTATTGGTGTGATTTCACTGATTTAGAGGTTGTGGAGCATACTAGCCTACCTATCGAGCTATATTGCGACAATAGTGCAGAAGTAGTCCAAACCAATGACCCAAGGTTCCATAGATGAACAAAATACACTGATAGGAAGTATCATGTTCTACATGATATTGTCCAGCAAGAAAATGTACTTGTGGCTAGAACATTGCATTGGAACACAACTTTGTTGATCCATTAACAAAGGTGTCGTCGATCAATAGTTTTGATCAACACCTGGATAACATTGGAGTTAGATGCAATTTGAATTGGCTATGAGGAAAATGTACTTGTGGCTAGAACATTGCATTGGAACACAACTTTGTTGATCCATTATCAAAGGTGTTATTGATCAATAATTTTGATCATCATCTGGATAACATTGGAGTTAGGTGCAATTTGAATTGGCTATGAGGGCAAGTGGGAGCTGTTGGGATTTATATGCCCTGGCATAGCAAATTCCTGTTTGGATTAAAGTGACATATGTTCCTGACGTTTATGAAATATTTATGTTTTATATAATTGGTGAATTCAATATATTATATTTCGATTCATTATAGAATTGATAGTGTCCATTTGATTAGAAGAGATATTTATATATATGTTTGTGATGGCAATCTATGCATGATATATAAATAGTAATCATAAATGGTTCATAGTCGGTAATTATGGATGGACTCATAATTAATTAAGATTTGAACTAGATCCGCGTTAGATTGAGATATATTGCAAGAGGCGTCGTATGCAATTGCTCCCTATCACCATCATGGCATTTGACTCTTAAGTATGAGAAAATTATAGACTCTTTTATTAATTAATAATTACTTTGATTTGTTCGGCGGATTCTTCGGGATCCTTAGACCGACACTTTGGGTAGTTATGTAATTAATAGTTAGAGGGTTATATTTTCAATATTTGCATCGTTGCTACTTGTATTTATTTTGTATTGATTATGGTTGATCACAAAGTAAATTCGAAGGCCTTCGTGTATTTTTAGACAAAATGATTTATTATATATTTATTTATTTAAATTATTATTTTTGTCAAACAAATGTTTTATTGTGATCGAGCCAGAAATAATCAAAGGTACCAAAATAAATATATTAATTAAGTAGTCGGATTGATGGCTTTATTAATCCGGTAACTAATTATGCATAGAGGGGTCAAAGTGTAATATTGACTTAGAGGTTATTTATTATTTAATTGGAGTTCAATTAATTTCTTTTAGTGGAGTAGAAATTAATTTATGAATTAATTGAATTGGGTCCATGAACCGGGCCAATTATTAATTCATTATAGCCAATAAAATAATAGGCCCAATGGATTCTCACTCATAGCCCAACTTGATATTGGAATCATATTAGATTTGAGACATGTGAATTAGAGATTGAGAAGGATTAGTTGTTTCCTTTTCTTTACCTTTATGTTGCCTATAAATATACATGGTTTATGTATATTTTAGGTGTGATTTTTAGTAAAAGGAAAAAGGAATATATTTTCTCTCTCTAGAAAATTAGGGTTTATGTTCTCATCTAATGGAGGCTCCCACAAGCCTAGTTTTCTAAGGTCATTCATGGAGGCATATGAGTGATTCCTAAAGGCAAAACAATTACCAAGAAGATGGAAATCCAAGAAGAATGCATCTTGCTAAGGAATCTACAATAAGTGAGAACATTCACTTTAGAGGAGAGATTTAAGGTTTACTCAAACCTTGATGTAAGTGTTCAATCTTTTAATTGAATGATACATCATGTTTTATTTTTGCATAAAACTTGTCTCTATGTAATGAATCAAGATCTATGAATTTAAATCTCTCGAAAAGTTTTTAAAACTAGCACATTTCCTAACAGTGACGTCTTTCAGCAACTACCCTGACTCTGGATTTGATGCTTTGTATCTCAGAAGCAATTTGAAGCCGGACTTTTACGTTCTTGAGAGAACGAAAAGTCTTCCTAAGAAAAACAAGGTATCTGTTCCCGTCATGACGACGAGGCATCAGACGGAGCATGAAAACATCAAGAACGGTGTCATGAGCAACGTCTCTCACTTGCTTAACCCATACTTTGATTTCTGGGTCACTCTCTTCCATTGAATCGGCAACTCTGAGGAAAGCAGTCATGCTCTCGAATTCAGCTCTGATGTAAACAACTTCTTTGCGAACTTCACTAAACAGGTTCACCTCTTCCTGGAGTAAGGTTGCAAGCTTGTCTAGCAGAAAGAAAACTGCACCCTCAGCCATTTTTTGTTTCCTAATGAAATCTGTCTTGCAGTAAACTTAATTCGTGCTTGAATGAGTACTGGATAAAGAGGAAATGGTGATTGGTTGTCTACGGAGTAATATGAATTTCAAGATTATAAATGGGTGGCTAGTAATGCAAGTCAAATCAAGTCGAGTTTTCCTGTGATAACTGGGATTTTTTTTTTAATTTTAAATTATATTTATTTCATGTTTTTAGGTTAACAAAATTGATTATTTTGTTTTAGTTAGAGACTTATTCATAGGAGATTTTGAATTTCAGTTTGATTTGATTTTGGTGCGACCTACAAGGAGTAATAGGTTGGTTTGGTTTTTGGTTGCAATTGTGTATTTATTCAATATATATATATATATATAGAGCATATGTGGATTGAGACAAGGAGCAAGTGCACGAATTGATGGGAGAAGAAAAAGATTGGTAATGTTTTGGGCCCCACCAAGAAAGATTGGTTTTGATTTATTGTGTGTATATATATATATATATTTTAGTGCATCCGATGGTTGGATAAGGGGCTGCCGAATTGAAAAAAAAGGGAAAGAGAAATGTGATGATGGCTACAGAAAAGTAATGATACTTTTCGTGGGACCCACTAGGTGAACAATGAGTTTGAATTCTGATTTTTGTTTCTTTGCGTGTGTGTGTATATATATATATATATATATATATATATATATATATGAGGCATCTGTTGAAGGAAGCAAAAAGGGGTAGCTGCCGAATTTTGCAGGGATAAGAAAAGGGTAAATTGTAATGTTATTAGCGGGGCCCACACTATGGGATTGTTTTGAGTTCACTTAGTTGTCTGATGGAGTGTATATGAAATGATAAGGAAATCTTAAGGAAAACCAAATGAGTGATATTGTCTGATATGGAGGCATGAGCGAGATTTTGTGAAATAAATATAATTAATTTTTTTCAATTTAATATAATTTAACGCATTCTAAAGTAGAAAGTGTGTTTTTTGCTAAGATAAAAATAAATATAATTATTTTTTTTCAAATTTAAAAATTATGCTTTTTTCTTCATATGAAATCTTAAGAACTTAAAATTTGGTTTAAGACGGTATTATCAATTATGACCATGGAAATAATATAAAGAAAATGGGTATTAGGAAAAGGTTAAGAGTTAGGATGGATACATGATCATGGCAAAATTGATTAAACAATGTCCCTCTAAAAATATGAAGATGGAAAAATAGAAAAAAAGAAAAGAAATCAAGAAAAAGTTGTGTGCTTCATCATTATTATTTTCGAGACAAGAAAGAAAGTTTCATTCCTGTAAATCACTCTTGGAACATCATTATGATTATATTTCAGCACCTTTTTTCTTCAGACCAGGTGACTCAATAAATGAGTTATTGAATTAGCTTTTCTACAAACCTAATTCAGTGTTAAACAGGTAAGAATAAAACTAATATCCTCCCAAATTTAGAGAGATGTCGAACAGGTAAGAATAAGACTAATATCCTCCAAATAGCAGCAATACAACTTAGAAGACTCTTAGATTCAAAAAGAATTTCACAGTGACGTTGGACAATCAAATTAGTATAATCCCACCCCAAACTCCATTTAGTAGCCTTCACAACTGTTAGAAATTTCAACCATAAGAGCAGTACAAGTAATACAGGAACAAGTAATACAAGTGCTTTTATTGACGAAACAGGAACAAGTAACACAGAAAGTAACGAGTGAGGATGAGCCCAACCTAACTTATGTCTCTCTCTCTCTCTCTTATATAAATTTTTCTCTACAGATTTCGCACCATTAAACAACCATTTTGAAAGTAAAAAATATTAACTTGGGGAATATGAGCTATTTTCCAGTAATCCGCACCTCTTTTGTTTCGATCCACCTTCTCAAGTAATTCATGATGCACATCAAGCAACTGAAGCGATTGAAGTTTGGTTAGATGTTCAATACCTGATGGCACCTCCTCAACTAATTCACAATCCTTTATACCTAGTGTTTCAAGAAGAGGCATAGCACCTTCCTCCACTCTCACCCATCTCAATCCTTTTAATTTGATAAGGTATAAAGTCTTAAGCCTCTGAAACCCTCCAGCCTTGATACACAATTCCTCTCTTTCATAAGCGTCTTTAAGGAAAATCTCCATCAGGTTGGGCAAATCTTTAAGGGATTGCATTGGATCATCCCTTAACTTGCTCCATTCTAATCTTACTTTCACCAGGTTATGAAGAGAGAGTATCCAATTTGGTAATTTATCTAAACGTCCCCGCAAATATAGCCCTCGAAGAAACCGAGGAGTTGAAGACAAGGATTGAATATCAAGGATCTCGTCCTCTTCTATCGAGGTCACTTCCAGTGAACGAAGGTTGCTCAACTTTTCAATGGAGGAGCACAGACCCTTTCCATCTTCCCTCCTCAACTTTAGAATCCCTAATCTCTTCAGTTGGGTCAGCTTCCCTAGCTCGCTAACTATAGCACTGCCACCATCACCATGACTTGCCTCGACATAAAAAAGCTTCTGCAGGGACGACAAACCACCAATTCCCTTTAATGCTTCAAAACCATTTCCACTGTGAAATTGTTGGTATCGTTCCATCAAAGTCCCGTACCTATACACCAGGAGATGGCGAAGTCGTTGGAGCTTCAGAATCTCAATTGGAAGCACAGTAACAAAGGTGTTCTTAAGATCCAAAGTTCCAAGATTTACAAGGTTTCTGATGGACTTGGGAAGCATTTTCACCTTTGTCCCTCTCAAGCTTAGATACTTAAGATGAAACAATTTCAAAACTTCATCTGGAACCGTCTCCAAAGAAGCATCTCTCAAGTCTAAAACTTTTAGCAACTTCAAATTACCACTAAGCAATGTAGGTGTCGATGACAAAGGATCAACCACCCCAAACATGAGCATCGAACGAAGTTGGGAGAATTGCTCGATTTGTTGCATAGAATTTACCAACGTATTAGTAGTGTTATGGATTGACAAGCGTCGAACTTTATCCGGCAATGGTGTGTTTCCAGCTTCACTGGCGAGTATTGCTACAATATTTTGATCTCTTGACTTGGAAGTAGCAATTTCACGCAGAAGGTCATGGATACGACACGTTCTGGCCCTTCCATCAACACTTGTCTCTGCCACTTGGATCAAACTTCTGTTGAGAAGCTCATAGAGATATCCCTCTGCAACTTCTTCAATTGTCTTTCCAGCTTCCCTGATTTGCACAAATCCTTCTGCTGTCCACAGTCGAATCAATCTCATACACTCAATGTCGTGATCTTCCGGGAAAATGCTCAAATACAAGAAACAAATTTTGAGATACCAAGGCAAATCGTTATAACTCAGAGAGAGTATATTTTTCATGCTCTGAAGCTTATTGTTACCTTGTAATTCCCCTCCAAGGCTGCGATTCAGCATATCCCAATCATCAATTCTACAATGGCTCTTCGTTGCCAAAACACCACCAATAGCCACGATCGCAAGTGGTAACCCTCCGCATCTTTTTAAGATACTTTCAGAAATCTCCTCCAAATGCGGAGGGCAGTTGGTGTCGCCCGGAAATGCTTTTCTGCAAAAGAGAATCCAAGATTCTTCCGGAGAAAATTGATGCAAATGATAAACGTTACCACCAGTTGCTTTGCAAGAGGTGGAAGCTATATCCCCGAAACGTGTTGTGAGCACGATTCGACTTCCGGAATTGTTGTTGGGGAAAGCATATTTGACAGCTTCCCAATCATGAATACTCCAAATGTCATCAAAGACAACCAAGTACCTCCTCTGCTGCAAAAATTCATTAATAACCAGTTTGAGCCTGTTAATATCCATCTTTCGCAATCCTTGGGGGACGGATCGCTTTATCTCACCAAAGAGCTGTTGAATCATGGCTCTTAGGAGTTCCACCATCTTAGGAGATTCAGAAACAGCGAGCCAGGCATGGCTCTCGAACTGTTTCTTCACTGCTGCATCATCATAGACTTTCTTAACAAGGGTGGTTTTACCCAAGCCTCCCATTCCCACCACAGAAACCACTTTTAGTACTCCTGAATCGTCCGCCTGATCGACCAGCAAACGAATCAGCTCCTGCTTGCGCTTGTCGATGCCTACGAGCTCAGCTTCTGGTACAAGGAGTGCATCACCTCGCGAATCATACCACTTGTTGTTGTTTACCACATGAGTGGTGGAGCTTGAGCCGCCTTTTGAGATATCAAACTTGCGACAGTATCTGTGATGTCTGTCAGCAACGTCCCTGACTCTGGATTTGATGCTTTGTATCTCAGAAGCAATTTGAAGCCGGACTTTTACGCTCTTGAGAGAACGAAAAGTCTTCCGAAAAAAAACAAGGTATCTGTTCTCGTCGTGACGACGAGGCATCAGACGGAGCATGAAAACATCAAGAAAGTCTTCGGTGTCATGAGCAACTTCTCTCACTTGCTTAACCCATATTTTAATTTCTGGGTCACTCTCTTCCATTGAATCGGCAACTCTAAGGAAAGCGGTCATGCTCTCGAATTCAGCTCTGATGTAAACAACTTCTTTGCGAACTTCACTAAACAGTTTGACCTCTTCCTGGAGTAAGGTTGCAAGCTTGTCTAGTAGAAAGAAAACTGCACCCTCAGCCATTTTTTGTTTTCTAAAGAAATTTGTCTTGCAGTAGACTTAATTTGTGCTTGAATGAGTACTGGGTAAAGTGGAAATGGTGATTGGTTGTCTATGGAGTAATAGGAATTTCAAAATTACAAATGGGTGGCTAGTAATGCAAGTCAAGTCAAGTCAAGTCAAGTCGGGTTTTCCTTTCAATCTCTCTAGTACTATAAGTAAGCTTTGAAGTGGTAGATGTATGAATGGCACGTCATAGACTTGTACATGTGTAATCATGTTAGTTAAAAAAAAAAAAGAAAAAAAAAAGCACTCACACATTGACTCACCCTGTCTTAATTTATTAATTTGTGAAATTCCACTTGGCATCCTCTTTTCATAACCAGTGACTTAGGGCATTCTCATTCCTTGATTTATTTATTTATTTTTATTAATGATATCTATCACATAGTGTAGTATACAGATCACACAAATATAAACCCTATGCAAAAAAATATATATATTTTTAACTCCCTTTTGATGTGCGACACCCATCTCATGGGTGAGCACAGCACTGAACAAAAGCGGCTGAACTTTATAATCCAATAATCTTGTGTTAGTGTGTTTGGAATACACTGAATTGAATCATAGTAAGATCACACTATATAATGTATTGTCATCATTTTGGTATATTTTTTATTTACTAAATTTATAGGTTCTAAATCCTGAGGAATTTAGTGAACTCAAGTTTCAGTATTAGTCACATTGATTTACCAATGTGTAAAATCTTTTTAAGATCAATATCACGGTATCTTGGGTGGCTAATGTTGAAGTTCTGGGAACATAAATGCTCAATATGAAATCTACACTCTTTATAAGAGTTAGAATATCCCCTTGATGCAGTTTAATAAGTTTGATCACTGAAATCTGGTTAGGGCATTTTAGTAAAATGTTTACTAAATTATTTTTTTATTATTTATTTAGAAAAAAATATTTATTTTGAAAAATTCTTTTATAAAAAAAATTCAGTGATCATAAGGATTGAATTGGTTACTCAAGGAATATAAGAAATAAGCATGACTTAGGTGGGATAGTATTTATTTTCCTTGGGGCTACTTATGAATATTCGGTAGTGGAGGGACTTATATGTAGTTATTTAATATGACAAGGCCTTGTTGTAATTTTTTAATCCTAGAAAGTTGTGAGATAACTCTATCTCTATCTAATTAGAGTTAGTATAAGAATCTCTTTTGATTCTCATCTCTAGCCCCATCTCTATACGTAATATCTCTTAAGTTAATTGTTCTATTATTCACGCACAAACTTACAGAATACAGAACAATCGAGAGTGAGAGATATAGGGTTTGCACAAACTTGTGTATTCCGGGGATATAGTGGTGAAGGTTTACTGGTGTTCAAGGTTAAAGGAGGAGCAATCTAATTCACTGTTATTCTCGGAATGTTGATGATTAATCAATCGTCCAAAGGTATGAAATCCCTTTTCAGTATTTCTTGATTTGATGAAATATCACGTGGATTTAATCCTGAAAATTTTAAATCGTTTCCGTTGTGCCTTCAATCTAATGAATGAAGGTTGCTCAACTTTTCAATGGAGGAGCACACACCCATTCCATCTTCCCTCCTCAATCTCCTCAGTTGGGTCAGCTTCCCTAGCTCCCTCATTAAAGTATTGTCGCCATCACCGTGATTTGGCTTGACATGACAAAGCTTCTGTAGGGACGACAAACCACCAATTCCTTTCAATGTTTCAAAATCATTTCCACTGTGAAATTTTGCAAGTTATTCCATTGAAGTCCAATACCTATGCACGAGGAGATGGTGAAGTCCTTGTAGCTTTAGAATCTCAGTTGGAAGCATAGTGACAAAGGTGCTTTTAAGATCCAATATTTCTAGATTTACAAGATTTCCAATGGACTTGGAAAGCATTTTCACCTTTGTTCCTCTCAAGCTTAGATACTTGACATGAAATAATTTGAAAACTTCTTTTAAAACTATCTTCAATGAAGCATCTCTCAACTCTAAAACTTTTAGCAACTTCAAATTACCATTATACAATATAGGTGTCTATGACAAAGGATCAACCACCCCAAACATGAGCATTAGACGAAGTTAGGAGACTTATTTGATTTGTTGCATAGAATTTACAAAGGTATTAGTAGTATTATGGATTGATAGGCGTCGAACTTTATCCAGAAATGATGTGTTTCCACCTTCACTCCCTATTATTGCTACAATATTTTGATCTCTTGACTTGGAAGTAATAATTTTACGCAAAAGGTCATGGATACGACGCGTTTTGGCCCTTCCGTCAACAGTTGTCATTGCCACTTGGATCAAACTTCTATTGAGAAGCTCGTAGAGATATCCCTCTGCAACTTCTTCAATTATCTTTCCAGCAACTTCACTGATTTGTACAGATCCTTCTGTTGTCCATAGTCGAATCAATCTTATACACTCGATCTCGTAATCTTCGGGAAAAATGCTCAAATACAGTAAACAAGTTTTGAGATACCAAGGCAAAAACTCATGGAGAGTATATTTTTCATGCCTTAAAGTTTATTGTTGCCTTGTAATTCCATTCCAAGACTGCGATGAACCATATCCCATTCATCAATTCTACTCTAGCTCTTCGTTGCCAAAACATCACCAATAACCACGATCGCAAATGGTAACTGTTGGGATTTATATGCCCTGCCATAGCAAATTCCTATTTGGATTAAAGTGACATATGTTCCTAACATATCTGAAATATTTATGTTTTATATAATTGGTGAATTCAATGTATTATGTTTCGATTCATTATAGAATTGATAGTGTTCACTTAATTACAAGATATATTTATATATGTATGTGATGGCGATCAATACATGAATATAAATAGTAATCATAAATAATTCATAGTCAGTAATTATGGATGAACTCATTATTAACTAAGACTTGAACTGGATCCGCGTTAAGTTGAAATATATTGCGAGAGCTATTGTACGCAATTGCTCCCTATCACCGTCATGGCATTTGACTCTTAAGCAAGAGAGAAGTATAAATTCTTTTATTAATTAGTAATTACTTTGATTTGTTCGGCGGAATCTTCAGAATCCTTAGACCGGTACTTTGGGTAATTATGTAATTAATAGTTAGAGGGTTATATTTTCAATATTTGCATCATTACTACTTGTATTTATTTTGTATTGTCTATGGTTGATCACAAAGTAAATTCGAAGGCCTTCGTGTGTTAGACAAAATGATTTATTATATATTTATTTATTTAAATTATTATTTTTATCAAACAAATATTTTATTGTGATCAAGTCGGAAATAATCAAAGGTATCAAAATAAATATATTAATTAAGTAGTCGGATTGATGACTTTATTTATCTAATAACTAATTATACATAGAGGGGTCAAAGTGCAACATTAACTTAGAGGTTATTTATTATTTAATTAGATTTCAATTATTTCTTTTAGTGAAGTAGAAATTAATTTATGAATTAATTGAATTAGGTTCATGGATCGGGCCAATTATTAAGTCATTGTAGCCAAGAAAATAAAAAACGCAAATGATTCTCACTCATAACCCAACTTAATATTGGAATCCTATTAGATTTGAGATATGTGAATTAGATATTGAGAATGATTTATTGTTTCCTTTCCTTATCTTTATATTGCCTACATATATATGGTCCATGTATATTTTATAAGGGACTTTTGGAAGAAAAAAGAATATATTTTCTCTCTCTAGAATTTTAGGGTTAGTATTCTCATCTAATGGAGGCTCCCACAAGCCTAATTTTCCAAGTTCATTCATGGAGGCTTATGGGTGATTCCTAAAGGTAAGACCATTACAAAGAAGATGGAGATTCAAGAAGAAGGCATCTAACAAAGGGATCTACAAAAAAGTGAGAACATTCACTTTATAGGAGAGATCTAAGGTTTACTAAAACCTTGATGTAAGTGTTCAATCTATTAATTGAATGATACATCATATTTTATTTTTGCATAAAACTTGTCTCTATGTGATGAATCAAGATCTATGTATGAAAATCCCAAAAAAAGTTTTTAAAACTTGCATGTTTCCCTACAGTAACCCTCCACATCTTTTTAAGATACTGTAACGACCCAAATCCACTGGATCCGGATCATTAAATGGGCCCTTACAAGACCCGAAATCATCCAAGGGTATTATGGTCATTTCACGTCAAATTCATATATTAAAGTCCAACAAGGACGAGATGGTCATTCATTGCACTCCTATTGATTTGAGACCCCAAGGGTATAATAGTCATTTACTGGTATCACATAATAAATAAGATAAAGTCCGGGCAATATAGTCATTTCCGTGGTTAAACTATAATTATTGAGTTTTATTGGGTCATAAAATAAATACTCGTAACTTTAAATAAAAGCATAATTAGGAAACTAAACAAAAAATGTATGGAACAGGAACCGGTTGACGTATAGGAGTTCATACGTTAACTGGTTTGGGTCACGCACAGTGATTGGCTCACTGCCAAGATACCGGTTGACGTGTGGGTGTTATACGTAGACTGGTTGGAGATGTGTATAGTGATAAAACCCACTGCCAGGATATTGGACACGTCGATTGGTTTGGAACGTGTACAATAATAACACACTGTCAAGATATCGGTCGACGTATGGGGAACTATACGGTCGACTGGTTCAGGTCATTCGGTTGACGTATGGGACATTACGTCGACTGATTCTGGGTTATTTACACTCAGTTGCTCACTGTCCAAAGAAGACCAATATATATCCACACTTGATAACCAACCACCAACGCCACTACACTTACGTACAAATTTAAATACATTTCAACATTTAATCCAAAAACAACAACCATTGTTAATGTAATTTACCACACGTTACTTAAAAGACATAAAGGGATATATTGTGATTAAAACATAATTACATTTCCATAATGGCCATATACAAAATGAACCTAAATACATCACTTGTTGCAAAATAATACATTTTTAGTTAACACTTTACAAAAATTAGGCCCAATTACAAAATATAGCAAAAAGAGACATTCTTCTAATCCAAGCTAAAGTTGCGATGGATTATCGCCCGCCACTTCTTTTCCCGAACCTGAAAATGTTAAAATAATGGGGTGAGCTAAACGCTTAGTAGGAAGTGTCTAAGACACACTTCTTATGACCCCGTGAATCCACGTAAGGAATAGGCAAAAGGAAACGGGATCATAGTATAGGGGTACATGGCAACAACTATAGCGGCAAGTATATAACAATTGTCACTCAAACACATACACGCCATATATTCTAATGAAATGCAATGTCATGTACATGTCACTCCCCATATCCGAAACATTTCCGTTTCAACTTTCAAATCTGTTAGTGTAATCCGACTCAAGGCACCTCCAAGGCGTCACGAAAGGAGGATTGGCTAACCATCCACAACCACAAGGTACCTCCAAGACGTCGCATCCGGCCTGGTTAGCTTAACCATACTCCCATTTAGACTACACTAACACCACAGACCACTAGGCGCCTCCTAGGCGTCCGAGTTTTCGCAAACACTTTTCAAAGCAATTTTCCCAAAATCCTTTCACTTGCTTTTAAACATTTTTCCCTTTTTCCTTTCCCAATGGATGCATGAATGCTTCATGCTTCTAATTGTTAATCCCACTATAGAACAACACATATGCTTGCAAGTTCAATTTCTAAAACAAGTACCTCATGCTTTCATTCAACATTAATTTAGCATATCAAGCTTATAAGGAGAAATTTCCATTTCACAAATGAATACTATTACACAATTTAACAACCAGCACATAAGCTCATATTTCTTATATACAACACATAAGCAACTTGCAAGAATTTAAGCAAATTAGATACACGAAACACAAATTCCATACACATAAGCATGCTTATACACATTATATCAACTTTCACATGTATACACTTTCCAAAACATAATATTTAAACAATTTGCAAAAGTTTTAACCAATTAAGCATCCAATACTAGAATTAACTCACAAAAGCATAAAAAATCATAGATTAGAATACCCCTACCTCAAGATATGTAAAAAGCCCCTATTTGTACCCTAAATCCCAAGTCTCCTAGAGTGCACCAAACACAAAATTGCTTCATCAATTCGTAGAACTCACCGTGATCTTCCATTTGCCGCAAACGGCACTCAAAAATACCAAATATTGAGAGAGAGATCAAGAATTGAAATTTGGAACCAAAAAAAAAAAAAACGAAAAAAAAAAACAAGAAGAGGAGGGAGAGAGATACGGGAGAAGAGAGAAATTGAGAGACCAAAAAGTGGTCTCTAACCCCTTTAAGGTGGGGGGTGGGTCTCACTCAATTTTCCTTTTCTTTTCCTTTTTCTTTTTCTCATTAATTCCCTCCATAAATTTACATATTCATCAACTATTAAAAATAGTCACACACAACATATTAATTAAAATGAACATGATGCAATTGGACCCAACCAAAATCCCCATATGCAACAGTTCCAGTAGCGGGTCCCACACGGGACTGTCCGTCCCGAAAATAGAAAAATGCCGAAATGGCGACCCTTACATTTCAAAGAGCCCTGAACTCAATGAAACACCTCCACCAACTCTCGGACATAACCGGCACACTCCACGGTGTCTAGCACTCAAAAACGAGGAAGGATGAAAATACCCTGGAAAAAATAAAAAATTTCCAAAAATGAAAAATGGTGAAAATTGAAATCACTACAGATACTTTTAGAAATCTCCTCCAAATGCGGAGGGCAGGAGGTGTTGCCCGAAAATGCCTTTCTGCAAAAGAGAATCCAAGATTCTTCTCAAGACAATGGATGCAAATTAAAAAAAAAATCACGTTTCCCTACAGCAACCCTCCACATCTTTTTAAGATACTTTTAGAAATCTCCTCCAAATGCGGAGGGCAGGAGGTGTTGCCCGGAAATGCCTTTCTACAAAAGAGAATCTAAGATTCTTCCCAAGACAATGGATGCAAATGATAAACGTTACCACCAGTTACTTGGCAAGAGGTAGAAGCTATATCCCCGAAACGTGTTTTAAGCACTATTCGACTACCAGAATTGTTGTTGGGGAAAACATATCTGACAGCTTCCTAAGCATGAATACTCCAAATGTCATCAAAGACAACCAACTACCTCCTCTGCTGCAAAAATTCATTAATAACCTGTTTGAGCCTGTTAATATCCATCTTTTGCAATCCTTGGGGGATGGATTGCTTTATCTTACCAAAGAGTTGTTGAATCATTTCTCTTAGGAGCTCTTCCATCTTAGGTGATTCAGAAACAGTTACCCAATCCTCCCATTCCCACAACAGAAACCACTTTTAGTGCTCCTGAATCATCCACCTGATGGACCAGCAAACGAATTAGCTCCTGCTTATGCTTGTCGATACCTACAAGCTCAGTTTCTGGTACAAGGAGTGCATCACCTCGCGAATCATACCGTTTGTTGTTGTTTACCACATGAGTGGTGGAGCTTGAGCTGCCTTTTGAGATATTAAACTTGCGACAGTATCTGTAATGTCTCTCAGCAACATCCCTGACTTTGGTTTTGATGCTTTGTATCTCAGAAGCAATTTGAAGCCGGACTTTTATGCTCTTGAGAGAATGAAAAGTCTTCCGAAGAAAAATAAGGTATCTGTTCCCCCTCATGACGATGAGGCATCAGACGGAGCATGAAAACATCAAGAAAGTCTTCGGTGTCATGAGCAACTTCTCTCACTTGCTTAACCCATATATTGATTGCTGGGTCACTCTCTTCCATTGAATCGGCAACTCTAAAGAAAGTAGTCATGCTCTCGAATTCAGCTTTGATGTAAATAACTTCTTTGCGAACTTCACTAAACAGTTTCACCTCTTCCTGGAGTAAGGTTGCAAGCTTGTTTAGTAGAACGAAAACTGCACTCTCAGCCATTTTTTTTTTTGTTAAAGAAATTTGTCTTGCAGTAGACTTAATTTGTGCTTGAATGAGTACTGCATAAGGAGGAAATAGTGCTTGGTTGTCTATGGAGTAATATGAATTTCAAGATTATAAATGGGTGGTTAGTAATGCAAGTCAAGTGAAGTTAGGTTTTCCTTTCAATCTCTCTAGTACTATAAGTAAGCTTTGAAGTGGTACATGTATGAATGGCACGTCATACATGTGTAATTATGTTAGTTAAGAAAAGAGAAGAAAAGAAAAAAAAAAAAAACTCAAGGGTTATGTGCAATGCGTAAGTCATTTTTTGTCCCTGATTTCTGTGTAGCTAAACTTCTCTTTCTCATTTTAGGTAAGATATCTTAAATACTGTAGTAATTAATTGGTTTAGTTTCTAATTTTGGAATATATTTTTCTTATTATTCAAAATCCCTAATATTTTAGTCTAATGAATAACACTCAAAAGATATACTATGGATCATAGCACAAAATACTATTATTTCAAATTTTTTCCAAACTCTGGTGATTTTTAAGCAAACTAAATATCAAGAAGTCTATTCATTGGAAAAATCATAATAATCAGAGTTTAATTTGACTTGGTCAAATTGGGGACGCGGGACTATAGTACCTTGTGCGTATGAATGTGTTAAGACAAAGGACTAGACATAAAGAAATTAGAGCCGCGATACAATTAATGAGTAAGGTATGGACGTTTTCAGAATTTTTCATTGAAGTAATGTGTGGATGTGGTAGGAGTACAGTTTGTATTAGGTTTCCCATCCGGATATGTTTAAATAAATCTACATGTGGCATATGTGTATATATATATTTTTTAAATTAATTTTAAAAATTGGCACAGTACTTGCACAATTATTGGTGGTAAAGTTGTTCTGCATGTAAAATAATCTCAAGTGCCCATTTCTTTTCTTTCTCAAAACTCTAGTGCCCATTCAACTTTACAAAAAGCTAGCTATGGTATTGATGGCCCCAATGGATTTCTCTCATTTTGTGCGAATAAATACTTTAAATGTCATATTGATATTACACGCATTATTAAGAAGAATAATTAGATTAGTTCAATATCACACCTAAAGATTTTAAATCTGAATTCTCTTGACACGCGTTTTCTATTTTAATAAATATTTACGATAACTCACACATATAATCATGTCTTCTATCTGTGCTGTTAGAGCATTGAATCTAGACTTAACAAGTTTTCACATTTTCTTGTGTATTGTTGTCTTTCAAGACACCTATATTCTCTTCATACTTGAAAGAAAAGTCCTCTCCATCACCTCAAACCATTAATATGCTTTTTTTTTTTTTCTAAGCTTGTGGTCCTCTTTTAGAAAATATAAATAGGGTTGACGCATTAACGATCCGTAACATCTTAAATCCTCTTTTATCTTTGTCGGTATGTGTAGCGTAACTTTAATTAAGATATTTTGATTATTTATTCATTTATTTTTTATTTTTTGAAAAGTAAAAGAAGAAATTTGAAATATTCATGTTAATGTGTATAACACAGCAAAAAGATACTTTTTGCCTCTGATTCTAGAATAGCGGAAGCCTAGGGTATTAATTTTGCTCTTTTATATTGTGAAGGCCATATGCTAATGGGATATCCTATTGCTAAATGCTTTCATTATAGATTTCAGATGTCCAAGTTTAACATGAAATTTTGAAGATCATCAATTAAGGTGAAATAAATTAAGATGAAAAGATAAGTGGATTTGCACTACATAACAAAAGAAACAGAACCATTAATACATATCAAATTCTTGTGATGCAGAGAACTTCATCTAAAAGTGTATTTTTTTGCACTTTCAAATAATGACATATCTGTGATGTGAACCTAAAGATTTTAGCTTGGTCAGGACCTCAATAGCTGATGGTACCTTCCCTGGAATTTAAATTTAAAGCAAGCAATCTGATATCTTCAAGATAAGGCATTGCTAACTCTTTGAGTGTCATACTTGTGAATACACCCCCATTGCATGAAGATGTAAAACCTTTATATCCTAAAAACGCAATACATCATCATCATACTGAATTTCCACAAAATTGAACAAGACCTGAAAGGATTTTAGTGGATCATATAATATGATTCATTTCTTAATGAACTCCAGTTCAAGCATAGTTTAACAAGGCTTAGGAAGAAAAATATCTAAGGTTATAGCATAAATATATGTCTTTGCACCGTATCCATTTTAGATACTTACAGTTACATTACCTAATCTGTTAGAATTTATATGCCCTGGCATAGCGAATTCCTAATTGGATTAAAGTGACATATGTTTCTAAGATATTTGAAATATTTATGCTTTATACAATTGGTGAATTCAATGTATTATGTTTTGATTCATTATGGAATTGATAGTGTCCACTTGATTACAAGATATATTTATATATGTATGTGATGACGATCAATATATGAATATAAATAGTAATCATAAATAGTTCATAGTCGGTAATTATGGATGGACTCATTATTAACTAAGACTTGAACTGGATCCGTGTTAGGTTGAGATGTAATGCAAGAGCCGTCGTATACAATTGCTCCCTATCATCGTCATGGCATTTGACTCTTAAGCATGAGAGAAATATACTCTTTTATTAATTAGTAATTACTTTGATTTGTTCGGCGGAATCTTCGGAATCCTTAGACCGGCACTTTGGGTAATTATGTAATTAACAGTTAGAAGGTTATAATTTCAATATTTGCATCATTGTTACATGTATTTATTTTGTATTAATTATGGTTGATCACAAAGTAAATTCGAAGGCCTTCGTGTATTTTTAGACAAAATGATTTATTATATATTTATTTATTTAAATTATTATTTTTGTCAAATAAATATTTTATTGTGATCAAGCTGGAAATAATCAAAAGTACCAAAATAAATATATTAATTAAGTAGTCGGATTGATGGCTTTATTTATCCGATAACTAATTATGCATTGAGGGGTCAAAATGCAACATTGACATAGAGGTTATTTATTATTTAATTGGAGTTCAATTAATTTCTTTTAGTGGAGTAGAAATTAATTTATGAATTAATTGAACTGGGTCTATGAATCGGGCCAATTATTAATTTATCGTAGCCAAAAAAATAATAAGCCCAATGGATTCTCACTCATAGCCTAACTTGATATTGAAATCCTATTAGTTTTGAGATATGCTAATTAGAGATTGAGAATGATTTATTATTTTCTTTCCTTATCTTTATGTTGCTTATATATACATGGTCCATGTATATTTTAGGTGAACTTTTGGAAGAAAAAGGAATATTTTCTCTGTTTAAAATTTTAGGGTTAGTGTTTTCATCTAATGGAGGCTCCCACAAGCCTAGTTTTCCAAGGTCATTCATGGAGGCTTATGGTTGATTCCTAAAGACAAAACTATTACCAAGAGATGGAGATCCAAGTAAAAGGCATCTACCAAAGGGATCTACAATAGGTGAGAACATTCACTTTAAAGGAGAGATCTAAGGTTTATTCAAACTTTGATATATGTATTCCATCTATTAATTGAATGATACATCACATTTTATTTTTGTATAAAACTTGTCTCTATGTGATGAATCAAGATCATGTATGAAAATTCCTCAAAAAGTTTTTAAAACTTGCACATTTCCTAACATAATCTTCCTCTTCCAGTTGCTTGTCTAGATGAGACCGGTATCAATTAATTGCTTTTTGTAATTAATCTCATGATTTGAGCATGCTAAGTAGACTATGTATTGTTATACATATCATAGGTTAAGGTTCTTAGTTGACAATGGTACATGTATGTGATGAAATTTGAATATATTGGTGCTAAATGTGTAAGTCTCACAAACATGTATATATATGTGATGAAATGAATTTGAATATGTTTATTTAACTTATGTACATGGTTTGTGAGCTGGAAATGCCCTTGAAAAGCTAATCATGACTTTAATATAAAATGGTAAAATGATGAATGCCATGCTAGATTATTGTTGATAAAGTATCTTATGGAATAAATGAATTAGTAAAATGAGATAGCATGATTTAATAAGCTTTACTTAATTTTAGCAATTAATTAATTAATCACATGTAAGATAAAAGTAAGGTAAAGTAAATAGAGTTTGAGAGATGATATCAATATTTTTAGCGAGGAAACCCCAATTGATAGAATAGACCAATTGTTGTGGAAAAAATCTTGTAGATTGTGCAATTCAAAGTAAACCGATCCATTATATTTGAAACAAAGTACAATGGACTTTTAACTCAGGCTCACACCTTATCATTTTACCAAACACCTATTGTTGATAATCTACTGACTTTGCGACATCCCGTCCAACAACTCTTTACTTCAGGCTTACTCTTGATCTCTGTAGAATGATTGCTACCTTGCTAGTAGATCAAACAATACTCCTCGAATGCTTTGACCCTTTCAAAGTGTGATCGCTAGCTTCACCTCTGTTTTCTTCAAGATCTGAATTAAATGTAGAAAAAGTAGATCTTCTTTCTCTGATCGTTGTAGATACAAATATTCAATAAACTTTGAACACGATCAGGATCTGAACAAACACTCAAAACTCACTCTTGTGTTTATGTGCATGTTCTAGAAATAAAGATAGAAAAATTAGATTAGATTTTCTACAAAATTGGCTTTTTAAGAATCAGAAGTTATAATGCAACAGCGGTACTAACCTAGATGTAAATCAAGGTTTCTATAAAATTTTCAAAAACCTAGATATGCATAGAAAAAAGGTGATTTTCGTGCATAGGACTTATGGAAAGAATTTTATACCAAATAGGAAGTTTAGACAAAATAGGAAACTAGAATCCTAAACTGTATCAGCAAGTGGAACCGGTAGCCAACTTTAGAACCGGTTCCCAAAGGTCCAAAGGACAGAATGAAATTCTTCGAAGCACAGGTTCTGTAACACCCCAACATTTTCCACGCATAAGTTGATCAGGCTTATACACGAAAAACGAGGGATATCAAAAACAATTGGCAATATACAAGCATAGAATACAAAATGATGATAATAAAAGAATTTAGACAGGAAAGGAACACTAAATAATACAACATCCATCCATCCTTTATTTAATACAGTACTCTATTACAACTTGGAAATCCTATGTCAAGGATCCCTAAATATAACCCTGAGGGTTCAACGTCAAAAGTAAATAAAAACTGAAACTGAAGTAATACATAAAACTTCTACCCTGAACTGGATCGTAAGAGTAGATGAGTTCGGATGGTGGTCCCTCACTGCTAACCTCAACCTTG